GGTTAAAATGTGCATTAGGGAAAGTCAGTTCATCTTTTATTCTGATTAGTTTTTGAAAAATAGTCTGTTACTGGGTAACTTAAAAGTACAACTCTAACAAATTTTTCTCAAAATGTCTAGAAGAAAAATAAAGCTCTAAATCTAAAAGAGAATTCTAAACAACAAGGATATTACAGAAAGTGTTGCTGGGAAGGACAAGTTGGAAGGGAGGGGAATGAAAAACTTCCCACAATGCAATTTGCTTCTGAAATGCTGCAAACTCACTTGACAGCTGTGATCCAAAATGGCTACTTGAGTATTTGCTGTTTTCCCAGGAGGGACCTGGCAAACAAGTTAAGATAAGGATAGCCTTTAAGACATTAACTACCAATTATCAGCCGGGTGAGATGGTGCACACCTATAATCCCAGCTACTTGGGAGGCTAAGGCAGGAGGATAGTAAGGTGGAGGCCAGCCTCAGCAATTTAGCGAGAACCTGTCTCAAAATAAAAAATAAAAAGGGCCGAGGATGTACTCAATGGTACAGTATCTCTGGGTTCAATCCCCAGTACTACAAAAAAAACCCAACCAAACAAACAAAAAAACCCTCACAAAAATCAAACCACCAACTCCTACCAATTATCCAAGAAGCTGATGGTCTAGTTTGTGAAATATCTAGCCAAACACTTCCTTCCCTTGGGCCTCCAGCAAGGTTTGTTTATACCAAATACCACAGGAAAAATTTTTTTAAAAAGTAATAAATATTAGGATTAGTTAACTGACTTCTTAGTTCTTCCTTCTTCCTTTCAATCCTCCAATCATCATCCATGACTAACCACTAAGACAATATTTTCCAAGGTATTTTATTAAGTGTTCCTACACATTTCTTTTGTGAGAAAAGCTTTGACCCTATCCACAAGATCAACCAAATGTAAAACATCTAAGAATTCCCTAACACACAATACATTAAAGTACTACCTTTTTGAAGCTTAAAATACCTACCACCTCCCTTCTAGCTAAAAGAGTTTTCTCTATCCCAAGGCAAAAAACAGACCTACCCAAAAGAAAAATATTTTTCTTTTTTTCTTACTTTGTCTTATATAGGTGCATAATCCCATGAACTATTTCAACAGAAGGATTTCCACTGAAGAATGAAATCTGGTCTGGAAGCTGTTTGGATGGAGAATCAGGAGCTGCATTTATGCAATCTTTACTTTGATCTCTACTTCTCTGCACAGTGACGGATGCTTCTGAAGACTTCTTTTCTTCCATTGCATCTTTTACCTCATCTTTCACAAATCAAAAATTAGCAGATTACAAACAGTTGGAAATATGCTAAAGAATTCTAATTGATTAAAATTTCAAGTTAGAACACTAAACTCTGACATAGAAAATATAATATACTGCATTAAGAACTATGTTCACAGAAAGCCAAATGTGGGCACATCCCAACTTTAAAGTTCATTAACAGGGCTGGGGATGTGGCTCAAGCGGTAGCGCGCTCGCCTGGCATGCGTGCGGCCTGGGTTCGATCCTCAGCACCACATACAAACAAAGATGTTGTGTCCGCCCAAAACTAAAAAAAAAAATAAATATTAAAAAAATTAAAAAAAAATAAATAAATAAAGTTCATTAACACCCTCAGAAACTGGAGGATGGCTTTTACATCCAGCAGTACCATAATACAAGCAGACATCTTCCATCACACACTCCTGAGTGGGATAAACATTCAGGGCTATTTTGTTTGAAAACCAAACCTACCAGTTCTGACCATCCCCATGCCTGAAATGCAGAACATATCCACTCCCTCAGTTGGAATGAGCTGGCAGAGCAGGGGAGAAACAATATGCTTATCTGGATGCACTTATGATCTATTGCTAACTTAGGTGGTAAGATGCTCTCCTCCACCAATGAGGGCTGCAAATATAGCTTGTTAGGATTTTTTTTTTTTTGAGATAAGGTGTTGCTATGTTGCCCACGTTGTCTTTGAGCTCCTGGGGTCAAGTGATCCTCCGGCTTCAGTCCTCCAAGTGGCTGGGGCAATAGGCATGTGCAATGCATGACCAGATTAATTTAGAAGAAACATTTAGAGATGCCGAAATGTGCCTTAATGACCTCATGTAAAAGCATGCAAGCAGTAAAGATAAAAGTATGCTCCAGGTTAACATTATGAGTTCACAAAACACGTATAAAACAAGTAACTGGAAGCTCACATTACAAAAGAGTCCAGAGTTTCTGAAAATATACCTGGGTTGGACTTCATAGTCTCAATGATTACATCTGTCATTTCCCGGCGGCCAAGGTGCTGATGAATGATTGTTGCTTTTTCCCCTGGTGACTTCCCTTCTAAACAGGCAACAGCTGAAGCAAGTGTCTTCTTTTTGATCTCCTCATTAGACATTTCCCCAGCTATAGAATATATGAATAATATCTGAACATAAAACAAGCTCCTCTCCATTCTCAATATCCCAGTCAACAGATTTCCCTTTTCTTTCTGCTGCTCTCCCCTAAGATGCCTTTTCAGTATCCATCTCACTCACCTCTGGGACTCCAGCAGTCAGAAAACAGTCAATAAGCTACCACTAACATAAATTCACAAACAGGGTTGTTTTGGTAGAATCAGGCATTTTAATGTAAATCAACAAGAGTCAGCTTCAGAGAAGGTTCAACAAGGACTATGTTTAGATGAACTAACATTTTAGTAACTGGTTAAACTGACCCTGGATTGGGCCTAAATTTCAAAATCTTTAGAGGTCTTTTTTTTTTTTTTGGTGGTACTAGGGATTAAATCTGCACCCTTGCACATGCTAGGCAGACACTCTGCCACTGAGCTTCATCCCTATTCATCCCCCCTTTTAAATTTTAATTTGAGACAGGTCTCACTAAGTTATCCAGGCTGGCCTGAAACTTGTAATCCTGTCTCAGCCTCCATAGTTTCTGGGATCACAGGCACGTGCCACTGTACTGGGCTAGAGATCTCTTTTTAAACATCCTGGGTCACTGACATGCTATGGATCAAACCACGTAAATCTATCATTTCTATCTTAATGAAACACACAAACGAGAAAAGGAATTTGGTGTCTCAACTAAAATAAGCTCTGTGAGTGCAGGGATAAGGCTTACCTTGCCCATCACTGTACTTTGTGTCCAGCACACAATGGAGTGTTCTCTAAATATATGTTAAATAAACAACTACACAATTGACTCACGCAGATGTCTATGTGTGGCAAATTCCAATTTGGTTGGCTTTCAGAACTAAGGGGTCACTTTTAGCCTTTAAAAGGTCCTAGTAGGAAAGGGGATATAGCTCAGTGGGAAGGTGCCTGCCTAGCATGATGAGGCCAGTACCACCAAAAAAAAAAAAAGAAAGAGAGAGAATTAATTAATTAATTAAAACAAAAAATCCTCATAACCTTGAATTAAAACATATTCATCCGAGGCCAGGCACGGTGGCCCACGCCTATAATCCCAGCAGCTCCGGAGGCTGAGACACAAAGATCAAAAGTTCAAAGCCAGCCTCAGCAATTGCAAGGCACAAAGTAACTCAGTGAGACCCTGTCTCTAAAACAGGGCTGGGGATATGGCTCAGTGGTCAAGTACCCCTGAGTTCAATCCCTGGTACCCCACAAAAAAACATATTCATCTGAAACCAGCCTGGGCAACATAGTGAAATCCTGTCTCAAGAAAATAAAAAATCAGTCATCTTTAACTTGCAGCTCCAAAGTTGACATACTTGGAGTAGTTTTCAATGATGACATCCTTACTTGCCCTACTCCCATATTCTTGTGAATTTTCTCGTTTCTCCTTACCTTTGCAGAATTTATCACAGTTATAAACCTACACTTATTCTTTACTTATTTAATTATCTGTCTCCCCCATGAAACTGCTGGTGCATTTCAGCAGAGACCATATCCGATTCTGCCCAAAACCTAAGCTCCAGCCATTATTGAGCATTTAATAAATATCTCTTGAATGAATGTTGTTATCAGGTAATCTTTTGAGGACCCAGGAACAGAGCATAGCTGCATTCCCCACTAAGATGGCATGTGCTGGGGTTGAAGGGCTCATTCTTAAGTCCAGCTCTCAGGGTTGGAATCCCAGTTTCACCACTTACATGTATCTTTAGGCAAATTATTTAATCACTGGGTCTCAGTTTCCTTGTAAAAGGTCCAAACTATCCATCTGCCTTAAGGTTGTTGCCGAGGTCATTAAAGAAGAGGATGCACACAGGTTTCCAGTGCAGTGCTTGGATTTAGGAAGTGCTCGAATTTTATTTACTAGGATTATCGTCATGAGGCACCTCAGGGAAAAGGAACAGTTTAATTAAACCAGGGACCATCAGAGTCGTTCGGGACCTAGTCCCTGCTTTCACGAAGCCTAGAGAAAAGCATGTGAGACAAATGTATCACTCGACTCAGGCGGGGCAGAGAAGGAGACGCGCTAGGTGAAAGCCCTCGGGAAGGCACGGGAGGAAGGGCCCAGGAAGGATTTCACATCTAGAGATGACATCTGGGAAGGCCTCCTAAAGATGGATAAAATAAGAGGATCCCAACCACCTCTCGCTTCTACCTGAGGCAGAAGCCCTCGTCACGGCCTGTCCCCGGACCCACGTTTCGGGAAGGCGAACCCCGGGGCCCAATCCCCGCCACAGGTAAGGCGGCGCGGCACTGGGACTCACCCGCGGCGCTGAAGCCGAAGCCAGCGGGAACGGCCGAGTGTTCCGCGAGCTCCAGTCGGATGACAACCAGTGACACACTCATAGGGCAGGCGCTGGCCGGCGAGAGCTCCGGCGGGCTCAGACCAGGCTGGGAGGCTAACGGAGAGGCCGAGCGGCCCGGGGCCGGCAGCGCCGCCGCTGCCTCAGCAGCACCAGTCCCTCGCGCAGCCTTTGGAGCCACAACAACCTGCACTTCCGCTTCTCGGCCGCCGTCTCTGACCCGCGGGGTCACGCATGCGCACACAAGCGCACGCTCTGATTGGGCGAGGCGGCGTGGGGGCGGGCCTGAGTGGTTCCGGACTGGAGCTCCGGGAGGTCGGAGAGGAAGGACAGGTTTGCGTTTGCTGGCGTGGCACCCCCGAGAAGCCCAGCGGTGGGTTTGCGCCCAGGCCCCGATTAACCTCTACCTGCCCGAGAGGCTTCGTCTTCAGCCCACCTCGGCTGGCTAGTGCCCGGCTCCGCGAGATCTCGAATTGAAACCCGCGCTATGCTGAGGGTTTTTGCGTTTGATCTCTCTCTCCAACCCTAGGAAGGGTTGCTTTGTGTCAGGCCCACTTTACAGATCCGTACGCTGAGGCTCAGAGAGGTGATTCCCACCCCATGCCTTCGCAGATGTTTCCAGAAAGCCTAGACACTGTCGGGGGCCCTCGAGATACATGGGTGAATGGAGCAATCACGGTGTCTACTTAGGCAGTTGACCTTCATCACTAGTTGTGTGATCTTTGAACTAATCGTTGTAGAAAGTTGGGCTAATATTCTTAAGTGGTTGTGAGGATGAAATGAAATGATGTGTATAGAGATAACGGTAGCGTTCTTTTAGAATGTCAGATTGCTCTTAGAATATAGATATTGACAAATTACAATCGATGCATATATGGCATATACATGACAGGATGCTGCTCTAGGTATATGATATGAGCATATATAAGATGTGTCACAGTCATCCTGGACATGTCTAGGTATATGGATTTTCTATATATGTGTAACACTATCACATGATATATCCATATATGTAACTTGTGACTACACCCACCACTTGATATATCCATATGTGTAACTTGTGACTACACCCACACGATATATCCATATATATAACTTGCGACTACATCCTATGGAATGTCTCATACCCTCTTTAAATCAGAGTCTCTCAGCCTCTGCACTTTTGACATTCTTTGAGGGTGTGTAAATATGTATCCTGGACATTGTAGGATGTTTAGAAGCATCCCTGTCTCTGGCCTGGTCCACCAGATGCCAGTAGCACTCTTCCCCCGTGGTGATCACCAGAAATGTGTCCAGATATTGCCAAATGTCCCCTGGGGCCCAAATCACCCTCTATTGAAAATCACTGGTTTATGTGAAAGTGCTTAAACATGTACAAATACATGAGACTTTATGTGAACTTTTTTGGATGTGATAGTACTGGATAACTTTTTTTTTTTGGTGATGGTTTTGGGGATTGAACCCAGGGCCTTGCACATGCAAAAGCATGCACTATACCACTGAGGCACCCCCCAACAGCCTAAGTTATAGATAACATTTACTGGTGTGCTAGGTACTAATGAGTGCTTTATCTATTTTATCTAATGCAAAGATAACTTTGTGAGATAGGTACTATAATTGTCCTCATTTTACAGAGAAGGAACCTGAGGAACCCCTCTCTCCAACCCTAGGAAGGGTTGCTTTGTGTCAGGCCCACTTTACAGAGTCAAGTGTTCAGGATCTCACACTTAGTAAGTGGCAGAGCTAGAATTTGAATGGAACATATCTATTTCAAGAGCCCAAACTTAATATCTTTACTAAAATATTGTCTTAATGTGTAATAACAAACACTGTGTGTCTATTCACAAAAACAAGTAGCAAATCTATACTACGCCAATCTAAGAGAAACACAGGGAGGAGATGACAAATATTCCTTGTGGTTTATAAGATTCCAGTTCCAGAGAACTAAAATTTTCAGCCAGAAATGTCCAAGTTGGATACATTATAGTTCTTTGTGACTGCCAACCACTAAGACTGTCCCTAGCTTTTTCCTATTTTCTGATATATTCAGCTTATGCATGTTTACTTTGTGCAGTTGTGCCAGGGCAGTGGGGTAGGTTGTTGATAGGCAAAAGAAAGTACCCAGAGATAGCATGTGAGACATGTAAATTATTGGGGAAAGTGTATGAGAGTTCAGCAACTGCTTCACAAAGAGTTCAATAGCAATAGGCTGAACAGATAGCACATGTACCTCAACATGTTTCACCAAGCAGTGGCTCCTCTACCTCATGATGTTCTATCCAATGACAGCCAGCTGAGCAAGTGACATGTATCCTTTCCACAGTGCCCCCAGTTCCATGTCTGTTGCTACTGAGAGGGGTTTTATGTGTTAGGCTGCAAAAACAGTAACATCATTGGTATTAGCTTGCTTAGTTTGTATCCCAAGGAGCAGATGTCCTGGAATACAGGAAAGAAAGTAGCTTTCTACAGATAACACTAACTTGCCTTAGTTTCTAGTGGGCCTGAGAGAAAGCCAGTGTCCTTCAAGATCATATGTATTTGAACTTTCCAGCCTAGGCTTGCTCTCCTGGTTCTCTTAACATGGCTAAGTTTTTGGGAATAGAAAGGGTGCATTCAGGGACATGGTGTTTTTACTTTTCCCTTTTCTTTAAAGTAATAAAATGCATCCTTCTATGTCTAGAAAGGCCTCAGGGGATGGATTTATACAAAGATGAATAAGATAGTCCTTGTCTTAAGGGAGCTTACAATTGTAGGAACAGATAGAAATGAAAACAATTCCTGAATAATGGAGTAAGAGTTCTACTAAAGTATAGAGAAGGAGCAATGGGAGGGGAAAAAGATGCCTTACTCTTCTTAGAAAAAGAAAGAAGCTTCTATAAGGAGATAAATCTAAAGCTGTGATGAATAAACAAATGGAAATTCATGAGGTACAGCCCAGGAAGGTGTTCTAGTCAGCACAGGACATGGCGAGGTGTGAAGGGATGAGAACTTAACAGCACTTTTTGCTCTGAAGAGAGCATTCTTGGCAAGTAGCTACAACAGAACTGTCATCTGAAGGCGGAGGATTAAGCAAGCTGCCTGTGGGAGCATCGCCCACATGTCCATTAGCAGGAGAGTGTGGAGGACAGTTACTTCAGTTAGGAATTATTAAAGTTGGCCCTTCAGGCCCCAAAGACACTTTTCATCTCTCTCTCTCTCTCTCTCTCTCTCTCTTTTATATGTTTTTTTTTTTTAGTTGTAGAAGGACACAATCCCTTTAATTAATTAATTAATTTTTATGTGGTGCTGAAGATTGAACCCAGTGCCTCACACATGCTAGGCAAGCGCTCTACCACTGAGCCACCACCCCAGCCCTCATCTCTCTTAAACCCTTGCACAAGCCATATTTACATGTTCATGAGCCTATAAATAAATTTGTCTTTGTATCATAAACTTTGGCATTGGCATAGAAACGTAAGTAAAACCAAAAATGTGGAGATCATCCTCGAAGTTTTTATATTTTGAAAATTACTCCAAATTCAGCAAGTTTCCAATGCCCAAGAAGCATATTATGTCATTTTCAAGATTTACTGTTTATGATTCCTTTTTTGATTTTTTATTTTATTTTATAATATTTATTTTTTAGATATAGTTGGACACAATGCCTTTATTTTATTTATTTATTTTTTTAATGTGGTGCTGAGGATCGAACCCAGGGTCTCGCACGTGCTAGGCAAGCGCTGTACCACTGAGCTACAACCCCAGCCCCAATTCCTTTTTTTAGATGCTTACTTAGGTTTTTGACTCTTTAAGGTTGAGGCCAGCCTGAGCAACCTAGTGAAACCCTGTCAGAATATGCAGATTTAAAAACAGCTGGGGATATAGCTCAGTGGTACAGCACTTGCTTAGCAGACACAGGCCCTGGCTTCAGTCCCATAAAATTGTAAGTTGTCTTGCCAACCTGATTGGCTCTAACCTGGTTTTTAAAAAAACTATTTTGTGTGTGTGTGTTTACTAGGGGTCAAACCCAGGGCCTTCTGTGTGCTATGCATACTCTTTTTTTTTTTTGAAGGTGTAGTTGGACATTTATTTATTTATTATTTTTGTGTGGTGCTGAGAATCAAACCCAGTGCCTTACATGTGTTAGATGAGATCTGTACTGCTGAGGCACAACCCCAGCCCCATATGCATACTCTTTACCACTAAACCACATCCTCAGACACTCTTGCCCCACCTTTTAAAAAATATTTTTAGTTGTAGATGGACACAATAATTTTATTTATTTATTTATTTATTTTTATATCTTTATTTTATTATTATGTGGTGCTGAGGATCGAACCCAGTGCCTCACGCTTGCCAGGAGAGCGCGCTACTACTTGAGCCACATCCCCAGCCCCAAAAATTTTATTTATTTCTTTATGTGGTGCTGATATTTGAACCCAATGCCTCACATATGTTAGACAAGTCTACCACTGAGCCACAATCCCAGCTCTCCTTTTTTTGAGATGGGCCCAGGCTGGACTCAAACTCCTGCACTAAAGTGATCCTTCTGCCTCAGCCTCTTGAGTAGGTGGGACTGTATAGGTGAGTGCACTCCACTCTGCTAAAAGCCTTGTTTTTGTGGCATTTTTGGGGATCGAGCCCAGGTTTCAAGCATACTAGGCAAACACTCTCTCACTTATTTAACAGCCGCAGCCCTTTTTTATTTTTTATTTTGAGACAGGGTCTTGCTAAGTTGCCCCGCCTGGCTTTGAACTTGGAATTTTTCTGCCTCAACCTCCTGAGTTGCTTGGATTGCAGATGTGTGCCACCATGATCAGTAGAAAAGCTTTTCAACTATAGAAAGCACATAAAAAGCTTAATGATTTTCAAGAGAAGAATAAAAGTTGGGAGTTCCCCCAGTTTTTTATTCCAAACTTATAGAAAATGTGAAAGAAAAGACAATCATCTCCCATATACTTTTTTTAATACCTTTATTTTATTTCTCTTTATTTTTATGTGTTGTCGGGGATTGAACCCAGTGCCTCATGAATGCTAGGCAAGTGCTCTACCACTGAGCCACAAACTAGGGCCTCCCATATACTTTTTAATCTAGATTCATCATTAACATTAATCTCAGTTCATGTGAATAAGAATATATGCATATATCAACATACATGCATATATGTATGCGGTTCTTGAACCTTTGTGTGGGGTGGTTTGTGTGTGTGCGCGCGTGCATGCGTGCGCGCGCACACGTGTGTGTGATACATTCCAGGGATGGAACCCAGGGCCTCATGTATTCTAAGTCAACTCTCCATCACTGAGCTCTTCCCCAAACCTTTTGAAGGTGATTTTAGAAAAGAGTCAATGGGGAATCATTAGGAGGCTAGGGCAGTGATCTGTATGAGAGATGATGTTTTGATGATGTGATGGTGACATCCTAAGTACTAGGAGGAGGGAGGTACAGGATGTCTTGGGAGAATACAGGAAAGACTGGTAAACTGCAACCCAGGGGACCATTTGGAATTAGCCAGGAAATTGTTGCCAAGTATTTCAGGTCAAGGGAGCAACATATGCAAAGACAGGCAGGAGGTGAATATAGTATGTTTAAGAAAATTGCACATGGATACTTGTGTTGGCTTCTCCCTGGTTGAGGTGAAACAACAGGGTGAATTGAATTGCTACAGATTGGAGGGAAGCAGATCTTAGGGGGCCTTTAAAACCAGGTTAAGGAACTGAAAGTTTGCCTTAAGGGCAATAGAGACTCACTGAAGTTTTTAAATGGGATTAAGATGTGATCAGATTTGCAGTTCTGAAAGATTATTCTGACAAATGAAGAATGAATTGGTAAGAGGTTTGAAAAGAGGCAGAGGGAGCAGTTAAGATCCACAGACAGAGGGCTGGGGATATAGCTCAGTTGGTAGAGTGCTTGCCTTGCATGCACAAGGCCCTGGGTTCAATCCCCAGCACAAAAAAAAAAAAAAAAAAAATCATGGACAGGCAGAACGATGACAGTGAGAAAGGGAAGGAGTGGAATTGACAATGTTGAGAGCAACTGGCCTTGCCATGGCTAAGTTGAGATGGCAGGAATTCAGGGCTGAATCTCACTTTTTAGCTTGGGCAGCTGGGTGGATGATGGAGCCATTTGGTGGGCAGTCAGGGAGGGAGGAGACACTGAGATCAATTATTGATGTAGTTTTTGAGACACTTGTTGATCAGTTGGCAATGTCTAATTGGCATTCCTAAGCTCCAGGGCAGGGGCCTGCATAGAAGTAGTGAGGTCAAGCTGTGCCCTGTGCCTTCTTCTCACACAGCCTGAGCTCAACATGTGCATAAGGAGGCTTTTCCAGTCCTCCTGTCTCCCCTGGACATGGAGAGCAGCTTTCATGAAGTCCATGCAGTGCAGGCAGCAGAGGACCCACCGATGGACACATTCTGGGGGTGGCACCTACAGAGCGGTGATTTTTGACATGGGTGGAGTTCTCATTCCTTCTCCAGCCAGTGTGGCTGCAGGTGAGCTTTTCATTCTTTTTCACATGGGGGCTGAAGAATGTACGGTGAGAGGGGATAGGGGAGACACATCTGGGCAGCAGCATATCCCAGAGGGCAGTGCACTGGCCCTTGAATCAAATTCCAAGCATTACTTAGTGGTTGAGTGTCTTGGGCAAATTGTTCAACTTCTCTGAGTCTTTAGTTTTTTCATCATTAAATTCAGATTAATAATGGTACCTACCTCCTTGAGATTTGAGGAAGAGTTAAATGAAATAATCCACTGGCATAGCACAGAGTGCTCAGCTCATCCCTTGTTCTCAGTAAACAACAAGCTGCCGTGGTTATTGTAGTTTTGATGAGAATTTAACTACCTTTCCCTGGGAACAGTACTACTGAAATCTTGAATGCTGAATGAAATTCCCCAGTGGATCACAACCTTTTCTGCTACCTCCCTTACAGTGTTAACTTTTATTTCTCAAGCCCTCCCTGGTTTTCCTTCTTTCTCCTCTCTGTTCAACTTACATTAATTAGTTCAGTTTGGGTTTCAAGTTTTAGAAATCCTAACAAAACAGGAACTGAAACAAGATAGAAGTTTCTTTCTTTCTTTCTTTCTTTCTTTTTTTTTTGTTCACAAAAGCCCAGGTATATGTCTGGGACTGGGATGTAGTTCTGTAGCATTAGGAACCCAGGCACTGGCTCTCACTTACTGTCTCACTCTGTCAATGTGTGTAGTACTGGGGATAAACCCATGTCCTGAGCATGTTAGGCAATGCTCCACCACTGAGCCACACTCCCAGTCCAACTTTGGCTCTTTTAATATTCTCTTCATTTCCTAAATGGCCTTGAATTTGTGATCCTCCTGCTTCAGCCTCCCAAATAGCTGGGATTATATGTGTGTGCTACCATGCCTAATTTTTGTGTGTGTGTGTGTGTGTATGTGGGGTTCTAGGGCTTGACCCCAAGGCCTTGCACGTGCTAGGCAAGTGCTCTGTGATTAATCTACTGTCCCAGCTTAAATCTTACATACTTTAAAAAAATTTTTTTTTGTAGTTTAGATGGACAGAATTCCTTTACTTTATTTGTTTATTGTTATGTGGTGTTGAGGATTGAACCCAGTGCCTCACGCATGCTAGGCAAGCACTCTGCCACTGAGCTATAACCCCAGCCCAAATATTACATCTTAAACCCGGTATGATAGCAGGCACCTGTAATCCCAGTGGCTTGGGAGGCTGAGGCAGGAATATCACGAATTTGAGGCCAGGCTCTAATTTAGCAAGGCTCTAAGCAACTTGTGAGACCCTGTCTCAAAATAAAAATAAAAAGCCAGTTTTCATAACTGACTAGAAGAACTGAAACTGGGTATGATGTGGCTCTGGGGAATTAGTCAATTTCCATATGCAAAGAGGTCAGATCCCTTTGAGCCTTACTGAACTAGTTGGAAACTTTTCCCTCAGTCTAGACCCAGCCCTTCTCCTTCATGTAGAATGCCAGTACCTGTACACCAGCAAAGTGCTGTTGCTCTGTGATTAATGCCCTTGAGTTTGATACCTGGTACCACCCACCCCATCCCCCGCCAATTAAAAAAAAAAAAGAAAAGTTATACTTACATTTTTTTTTTTTTAACATTTAAGATGGGGGTTAATCAACTCTGGCCCTTGGGCCAAATTACCTGTCATCCAAGAATGACTTTTACCTTTTGAAATAATTGGAAGATATCAAAACAAGTACTCAATATTTTGCCAAGTGTGATGGTGCACATCTATATCCAAGATACTCAGGAGGCTGAGGTAGGAGGATCACAAGTTCAAAGCCAGCCTGAGTAACTTGGTGAAACCATGTCTCAAACTAAAAATTTATAAAGGGGCTGGGACTGTAGCTCGGTGATAAGAGTGCTTTGCAAAGTATGCATAGGCCCTGGGTTTAATCTCCAATACTGCAAAATATTTGTTGGCCCTTATTCTAGTTTATACATTTTAAAATCTCACACATACTGTGTGAGATTTATAGACACATTCAGTGTCTATAAAAATGAATTTCTTTTGGAATATAGCCAGACCATTCATTATCCCTGGCTGCTTTTGCCCTATAATGGCTGGGTTGAGTAACTTCAACAGGAACTTTTATGGCCCTCAAGCCCTAAAACATTTGCTGTCTGGCTGTTGGAGAAAGCTTGCCACTTCAATTTGAACTTTTTTTTTTTTTAATATTTATTTTTTAGTTTTCGGTGGACACAATATCCTTATTTTATTTGTATGTGGTGCTGAGGATCGAACCCAGCGCCCCGCGCATGCCAGGCGAGCGCGCTGCCGCTTGAGCCACATCCGAAGCCCCCAATTTGAACTTTTTGGTTGCTATGAAATTAATATGCACATGACAGAAAAATTCTCTTTAACATTGTATTCAGGGAGCATAATGATAAATCAGACTTTTTCATTTTTTGCTACAGTTCTACCTCTTTTTTTTTTCTGTTGTTTTATATTCATTTCCCTGATTGTCAGTGGGGTTGAGCCTTTTATGGTGTGTGTGTGAGTGTGTGTGTGTGTGTGTGTGTGTGTATTTTTTGGTACTGGAGATTGAACTCAGGGGCACTAGACCCCTAAGCCACATCCCCAGCCCTATTTTGTATTTTATTTAGAGACAGGGTCTCACTGAGTTGCTTAGCATCTCGCTTTTGTTGAGGCTGGCTTTGAACTCAGAATCCTCCTGCTTTAGCCTCCTGAGCTGCTGGGATTACAGGTATGTACCACCATGCCTGGCATTTTTTAGTATATTTATTGCTCACTTGGTTCTATTTTTCTATGAATTGTTCATTTTTTTTTGTTGATTTGCAATAATAACTTCTCATCAATTACATTGCTTGTAAATATTTTTCCCTTCTGTGGTGTGTGTTGATTTTATGTAATGTTCTTTGCCATACCAAACTTTTGTTCTGTTTGTTCTTTTTATGTTTCCTTTCTTCTTTCAGTGTTGGGAATTGAATCCAGGACACACTAGGCAAGTGCTCTACAACTGTACAACTGTATGTCCCTTTATTTTTTGTTTTATTATATAAACTTAATGTTTTTGTTTTATTTTGAGGCAGGGTCTTCCTAAATTGCCCAGGCTAACCTCGAACTTGGGCTTCTCCTGTCTCAGCTTCTCCAGTCACTGAGATTACAGGTGTATGCCACCTTGCACAGCTTGTGTTTTTTCTTTATGGCTTGAGCTTTTTGAGTCTTGGATAAACTCTTCTCTTCAAGTTCATTTAAAGTGTTGTGTATTTTATCTATTGGGAATTTATTTTAAAGTTTATTTATTTTTTTGTACTCCTGAGAACTGTACCAGTGAACAACATCCCTAGCCCTGCTTTTTTTTTTTGGAGCCCCAGTTTCATTAAGTTGCTTAGAGCCTTGCTAAGTTGCTGAGGCTGGCCTCAAACTTGCAATCCTCTTGCCTTAGCATCCCAAGTTACTGGGATTACAGGAATGTACCATCACACCCAGTTTGGGAATTTATTTTTGTGATGTGTAAAATTGGGATTTAATTTAATGGTTTTCCATATTAAAATTCAGTTATGTCTACTCTCATTTATTGAATTCTTAGTGCTAAAAGAGAATAAAATGCAAAGGAGGGCTGGCTTTGTGGCTTAGTGGTAGAACGCTTGCCTAGCATGTTTGAGGTACTGGGTTTGAGTCTCAGCACTGCATGTAAATAAATAAAAGTCTGTTGACAACTAAAACATATTTTTAAAAATATTCAAAGGAAACTTCCTGTGCTACCTTTACCCTTCCCCAGGAGGTTCTTGCCTTCTTGCCTTCTGTGGGTATTACTGTGAACATTTGTGTGTGTGTGTGTGTGTGTGTGTGTGTGTGTGTGGTGCTGGGGATCGAACCCAAGGCATGCAAGGCAAGCACTCTACCAACTGAGCTATATCCCCAGCCCACTGTGAATATATTCTTGTTTATCCTTTAAAAATTTTCATGTGTCTTTCTAGCTACACATTGACATATAAGGGTATGTGTGAAACATGTATATGTGCACACATACATTGGATCATGTTCTGCAGACTATTCTGTACCTTTTTTTTTTTTTGCAGTAGTTATTTTGCCAATTTATTTCTTCCTTCCTTTTTTTTTAAAATGGTGCTGAGGATCACACCAGGGCCTCATTCATGCAAAGTACAACATATACTACCACTGAACTACAGCCCTAGACTTTTGCAGTTTTTTCATATCAGTAGGCATAGGTCTAGTTCAAGAGTTAGCAAACTCTTTCTATAAAGGGCTATATAGACTTTGCATTTTGTAAGCCATAGTGTCTATGTCATAACTACTCACCTCTACAACAGTGAGAAAGCATCAGTAGACAATAGTAAAGGAATAAGTGTGCTTGTGTTCCAATAAAACTTTATTTACAGAAACAGGAGGGCTGAGAGTGTAGCCCAGAGGTATAGCATTTACCTAACATGCATAAGATTCTGGGTTCGATCCCTAGCACCACAGTAAACCAAAAATAAACAAAAAACAAGCAGGAGATTGATTTGGGCCCCAAGACCTATTTGTCGACTCTTAGTTTATACATTTTAACATCTCACACATACAATGTGGTATTCCTTAGGTAGATTTACCCTAATTAATTTAATAAGCCCTTTATTAATATACAATTAACCTTCCATTTCTTTTTTATTAGAAGCAGTTCTGCACAAACAGCCTTGTTATCATTGTATATTTTTCTAAATATATCTGGAAGAAATTCCTGGAAGTGAAATTACTGTATCGAATGTAGGCACATTTAAAATATTGGCAGAAATTGCCAAACTGCTCTCCATAGAGGTTATACTTGTTTATGCTTTGTCAGCAATATGTGAAGGTGCTGACTTCCCCACACACTTGCCAAATCTGAGACTATGAAAAAGGCCATACAGTTTAGCTCTAAAATTACAGAAATATTTTTGGATTGATGAGTTTTGTTTTGTACTAGAGATTGAACCCAAGAGTGTTTTACCACTGATCTACATCCCTATCCCTTTTTATTTTGAAGCAGGGTCTGGCTAAGTTGCCCAGGCTGACCTGAAACTTGTGATCCTCCTGCCTCCGTCTCCCAAATTGCTGAGATGACAGGCATGTACCATGACACCTGGATCTATATTGAGTTTTTAAAGTCTTACTCTTCTCAAGGGACATACATGATATCATTATCATTGGTTATTTCTGAAAAATGAGATTGCTTGTCATTTTACTTTTTTCTTTTGCAATATTAGGAAATGGACCTGGAGTACTTTACCTCTAAGCTATGTCCCAGCCCTTTTTTAATTTTGTATTTTGGGACAGTGTTTTGCCAGGTTTCTGAAGTTGGCAGTGAACTTTCAATCCTTCTGACTTCACCTCCCAAGTTGTTGGGGGTTTTGTGCCACTGTGCCTCACTCTTTTTTCATTTTATAACTTTTTATGTTGTCTTAGATATTTTTAATGCACAAGTACTACTTTATTAGGAAAAAAAAGACAGTGTCTTCATTTCAAAATACACATATTGCCCCTAGAAACTGTATTACTTAGAAACAGAAAACCTCATAGGAGAAAAAACAACACTTATTAAAATGTTCCCAGTACTACACAAATGCTGATTCATTTACTGCCTTTCCTCTTTATGAGCAGAAATTTTCTTATTTGTTCCACAAAGACAGCTTCACCCAAAGTGACTGATTCAGTGTATCAGCTATATTGCTGTAAAGAATTACTCTAGCTTACAAAATGAAGAGTTGGGTTTGGGTTGCTGTCCAAATCTGGTTTATTCCTATGTATACTTCTTTAGATGTGCTAGGACCAGGTAAATAACCCAATGTGTATGGTCCAGCCAATGAGAGACCAAAGAAGAGAATCTATGCTGTGTTCAGGGTCATCTCAAGTGGTAAGGACCTGAGGCTCAGCAGCACTGTGTTCTCTGTCATATAAATTAGTATCTCTTCCTTCAAAGGTCCAAGGTTGAGATTTTGTTTCTTTGGTGCTGGTTTCAACCCAGGGCCTCATGCATGCTAGGCAAATGGTCTACCACTGAGCTTCATCCCCAGCCATCTGAGATTGAAGTTTTAGTATTTCGTGTATTTCTCTAAATTACAGATAACATTTACATAGGCATCAGAGTGATACCATAGGAACTGGTATGATAATTCCCCTGAACTCCAGCCATTATTCGATGTATTTCATATTTCACTGTTGTATATTCTATTTACAGAATGGGAGGTACAGAATCGTATTCCTTCTGGAACTATATTAAAAGCTCTCATCAAAGGTGGAGAAAATGGACCCTGGATGACATTTATGAGAGGAGAGATAACAACAGAGGATTTCTTAAAAGAATTTGGGAGACTTTGCTTTGAAATAGTAAGTGGAATATATACCTGCATTTCTTTTTATTATTTTTGCCTTGAAGAGCAATTGGCAGTATTCATCCATAACTTGATTAAACTGAAAATAAAGTGAAAACCTAATAACCCATTATGTTTTAATCTACTTAGTCTGTCCCTAGGTACTTGATTTTAACTTCATATATGAATAAGTAAAAACATTCTTTACTCTAAACCCCTCCAGCAGATATTGAAACAGGAGCCATCCACATAATGACTTTGATCCAAAAGCTTATTAGAATGATAATATTTTTTAAAAATATTTTTTAGGGGGCTGGGATCATGGCTCAGCAGCAGAGCACTTTCCTCGCACATATGGGGTACTGGGCTCAATCCTCAGCACCACATAAAAATAAATAAATAAAATAAAGGTATTGTGTCCACCTACAACTAAAAAAAATTTAAAAAAATTTTTTTTAGTTGTAGAGGGACATACAATATCTTTGTTTATTAATTTATTTTTATGTGGTGCTGAGGATCAAACCAGTGCCTCACACATGTTAGGCAAGTGCTTTACCACTGAGCTACAGCCCCAGCCCCTAGAATAATAATATTGACCATTTTCTGTGTGCAGTGCTTTGTCCTAAGCTTTTTATTTGCATGAAATCATGTAACTTTCACAGTAGCTGTACTAAAATATAATAGTAAGAGCAGTTCTGTGGTTGGATGATGTGAGCACAGCAGGGCCCCTGAACTGGACACTTAGGATGGCTAAAATGGCCAATTGGATGCTATACATTTTTCCCACAATTTAAAAAAAATACAAAGACTGAGACTTATAAGCATTATGCTAAGTAAAAGAAGCTAGTCAAGAAAGATGGCATGTTATTTGATTCCATTTCTATGCATGTCCTGAATACTCAAAGCTATAGAGAAAGCAGATTAGTGGTTTTCTAGGACTAGGGGTGTTGAGGAAAGTGAGGAGTGACTTTTTTTTTAATATTTATTTTTTAGTTGTAGTTGGACACAATACCTTTATTTTATTTATTTATTGTTACATGGTGCTAATGATCAAACCCAGGGCCCTGCACGTGCTAGGCAAATGCTCTGCTACTGAGCCACAACCCCAGCTTGAGGAGTGATTCTTTTTTTTGTGTGTGGTGCTGGGGATTGAACTCAGAACCTTATGTGTGTGAGGCAAGCACTCTACCAACTGAGCTATATCCCCAGCCCCTCAGGAGTGATTCTTAATGCGTATGAATTTCTCTTTAGGGTAATGAAATATTCTATGATTGATTGTGATGGTTGTATCATTTTGTGTATATGTTAAAAACCTTTGACTTGTGGGCTGTTATTGTAGCTCAGTGGTGGAGCACTTGCCTAGCACATGTGAGGCACTGGATTCAATCCTCAGCACCACATGATAATAAATAAATACATCTAAACTAAAAAAAATTTTTAAAAACCCAAACCTTGGGCTGGGGATATAGCTCAGTTGTTAGAGTGTTTGCCTTGCATGCACAAGGCCCTGGGTTTTATCCTCAGCAACACACACACACACACACACACAAAAAAAAAAAAAAAAAAAA